GGGGGGAGGCTCGCTTCCACCTCCTCCTCCTTCCCCGCATCCAGGCGCTTTGCAGCCGGCAGCTCCGTCCCCCCCGCCCATCCCACGCGGCTTCCTCCGCAGCACCGCCTCCTGCTCCTCCGCCTCCCCCCTCGCCTCTCCTCTCCACCTGCTGCTGCTGCAGCACCCTGCCTGGCTCGCCCGGCTGCCGCAGCTGCGCTTCCCCGGCTGGGCCATGGCGAGCGGGCTGCGCCCCGGGGGGTGCGACGAAGATTATATTGTCCATTGTTAGAGGTCTTGTGCCCAGCCCCAGCCCCCCCCCCCCGGGAAATTGGAAAGTCTACGCCCCTGGTTGCCCTGACCTGGATAGCCCAGGCTAGCCTGATCTCATCATATCTCAGAAGCTAAGCAGGGTCAACTCTGGCTAGTATTTGGAGGGAGACGTCCAAGGAATACCAGGGTTGTAATGCGAAGGCTGGCAATGGCAAATCTCTCAATATCTCTTGCCTTGAAAGCCCTATGGCTTTCAATCAGTGGTAACTTGACGGCAAAAGTAAATAAAAGAGTTATAACCTTCTAAGGCTATTGAAGTATGTTTATGACTGCACTGTTAGTTACTCCAAGGTAAGCATGTAAAAGTGCAGTCCCCTATGCATATTTATTTAGATGCAAGTCCTTCATTCACCGAGGCTTACTCCAGTGTACATGTGTATAGGATTGCAGCCTTAGCTACTTAATTGTTAAAGAGCAACTTCAATGAGTGGAATTTTGAGACAAAGCCTAAAAAAAATAAACAAACCCAAGTTCCAGCCAGAGTTAAGCACTTAAGCTCTGCTGATTTCAGTGGGAGAAGCTAGTCTGGTAGTGAGTGGGAGAAGCTAGTCTGGTATTGAGATAGCATACAAAGAAAATGGTCTGGCCTTAACCTATGTCAGTGAATGGTAGCTTAAAATTTAATAAGCATAAGTTGTCTTGTGCTTCCTAGAAGTTTCAGTAATATACAAATTTATTTAAGTAAGCAGGGTATGGTGAGTTTGCATAATGATCTCTGTTTCTGTCCTAGCCTAACATTCTTTTGATTTAAAAAAATTGCTATAATTTTCATTTAAAAAACAGTTTTTCTATTTTTAAAATATCATGGTTGCAAAGCTCTGTGTTTTTTTTAAACATGTTTATATTTTAGTTCTATAGTTCACATCTAAAATTGCAAACTTTTTTCTGTTAGAACCATTTG